TTGCACTACTGATCGTGTACTGACCATGCATAGATTGCAATCTGCGCTGTTGTAATCTGTAGAAGAACAATAAAATTTATGAATTAATTATTTATATATATATATATATATTTTAATATATACAACAATAATTAATGCAGAATCTGTAACATCCCACATCACCCAGGAGAGTGGATCCTATAAGCCTTGTATGTATATTCTCATATCGACCTAGCACGAGACATTTTGGGAGCTCACTAGTTTCAGAGTTCCAATAAACTCTGAAATTAAGCGAGTAGCGTGTGAAAGCAATCCCATAATGGTGACCCACTGGGAAGTTCTCGTGTGAATTCCCAGAAACAAAATTGTGAGGGCGTGGTCGAGGCCCAAAATGGACAATATCGTGCTACGGTGGAGTCGAGCCAGGGTTGTGGTGGGGGCCCGGGTTGGGATGTGACAATTTAGTATCTGAGCCAATCCTTGGCCGGAAGTGTGTCGAATAGGACGTCAGGCCCTTAAAGGGGGTGGATTGTAATATCCCACATCGCCCAGGGGAGTGGATCCTATAAGCCTTATATGTATATTCTCATCTCTACCTAGCATGAGGTCTTTTGGGAGCTAACTGGCTTCGGAGTTCCGATGAACTCCAAAGTTAAGCGAGTAGTGCGCGAGAGCAATCCCATAATGGGTGACCCACTGGGAAGTTCTCTTGTGAGTTCCCAGAAACAAAACCGTGAGGACGTGGTCGGGGCCCAAAGTGGACAATATCATGCTACGGTGGAGTTGAGCCCAGGTTGTAATGGGGGCCCGGGCCGGGATGTGACAGAATCTGATTAGAACAAATTATTTTAAATAATCCCCAGCAGTGGCGCCAATTTCTTGATAGGAAATTTATCATACACGCAAACGGGCTAAAAACTCCTATAATACTTTCAAGAATGGCAAGATTATTGTAGTATAAACGGACCTGGCAAGGTCGTTCTCCACATGAATTATTAAATAATTTGAAACAAACCAAATTCCAACTAATTATTGTAAAATAGAAATTTGAGATAATTTCTTTTTATGACCTAATTTAATAAAACAAATTTAATTAATAAAAATAAAACAATCTGCAATATTCAAGCTGAAAGAAAAGGAAAAGTTTTGGAGAAATCAAATTAAGAAAACACTAGGGTTCCACCATCACCTAGCAATCCTATGAATGTTTACCAATTACTTATGATCTACACATAATACTTTGAAGGTTAGGTTTTCCTAATTTATATTCTACTTGGAACCTCTAACATAGAACGTATATCTAACATGCAACCCGTACGAACGTTCGGATCAAATCTGAACATGAGAGACTCATTATGCTTTATGAAAACCTTTTGAAAAATCATGCAACCCTTAAGACATGATATTCATCTTAAGTGAAATTACAATTATTAATCACAAGAAGTTAGCGCCAATTTCAAGGAACCTTCCAACTAAAATTGCATTAATTTACTTTTTTAAAGATTCTAATAGTGATCAGACATTAAGACAATTAGATAGTTTTAATTACGGTATTTAATAATTCAAAGTGTAACAACCCGTTCCAAATTTTACGTTTTTATTTTATTTTAAAAGCGTGAATTTACGAAATTGCCCTAGAGGCAAGGACTTTGACTTCCGTTGACCATCGACTTGAAAGATGTGAGACCTATTCTTTTAGCATATCCTCGTAGTACTCATTGGTACGAACGTATATGCGAAAGCCGTTTGCGAGTCCGGATTATAACGGTATAGTTACGGACGTTCGAAATTGGTTATTCAAGGTTAGTGTTTATTTAAATTAAATCCCCACTTTGTGGGGGGAAGCCCAATCAGAAAGAAAGAAGAAAAGAAAAGAAAAAAAAAAAAAAAAAAAAAAAAAACAAGGGAAAAGCTTCCCGTGCACCCATACCCGCACCCACCGCGGGTCCATTTTCCAAGGCCGATTCCGGCCAACTCCGGTGGAGTTTTTCGATGCCACCACCACCATCTTGAAGCTCTCATTCCCCTCTACAAAACCCACCCAAGAACCACCTTGATTAACCACGGGATGTGGAGGTTTGAGGCCATGAAAGTTGACGAAAATCAATGGTGCTCCGGCCACCCTTCTCCATTTTCCGGCAAATTGGCAAAGTGATGGCCGATGCCACCACTTGGGCTTTGTAGCCCATCATCTCAGGAGCAAAACCCAACCAACCTTGACCCCGTTGGACCACCGTAGACGACGAATCGACGTCGGGAAGTTTTAGGCACCCGCCGACTTCGTGGGCAAAATTGATCATCTTCCGTCCACTTTTGGACTTCGTGGAAGGTATAAAAGTTGCTCCACTCACTGAGATCTTCATTTCTGTGAAGTTTGAGAATTTTTGGAAATAGTTGGATTTTCCGGCTAGTCGGGGCGGCCGACCGCCACTCGCGGTGGCGCGTGCGGCGGCGCGTGCCCAGTGAGCCGCCAATGCTATTTTTAGGCTATGTCGAATGTTTTGAATTCAGTTTTGTCATTTGAATGACGTAGGTTGATCGTTGGAACCTAAATTCGTTATGATACGTTACTTGATAAAAATGTGAATCGATGATCCGACCGTTGGATCGTCACAAAAATTGGATACATTATAATACGTAATATTTAAAGATCATAGGAATTTACGGATCGGGAATCCGACTTACGGATCTTCCTGAATTGGATTTGTAAGTTAGTAAAATAAATGTTCACGACCACTTGTTTTAGGCAATTGGCGGAGATCTGACCGTTGGATCGTAATGAAATTTTAATATGTTATTCTAGAAACATATTTTGGATCGTTGGGAGTTGCGGATTGAAAATCTGATATGCGGATCTTCCGGGTCAAGTTATACAGGGTTGTAAACCCTACCGTCGATCTTTGATCGACGGTTGACTTGTGGTCAATGGGTCTCAAGCTATTTTAGAATGTCGTTGAGGTTGTGTTTTATGTGAATTACATATTCTACGGATAAGAGTTCTGAGATGTGATTTGATAATTGATCATAGGGACCAATCATTCAGGACGCCTCGATGCGCGTGCTAGAGAAGTATAGCGTGGACTCCAGGTGAGTGGATCTTTTCCTTTTTATTGTGCATATTATTGAGAGTTCTATCGACACTTTTAAATTGATTAGGTATATTACCTTCATATAATTATTGTGAATGCTTGAAGTACCTATATGAACTACGAATGGCTTGATCCCTATTTAGGATACGTAGGCAGTCTAACGAGACGTTAGATGCAGCCATAAAATATTTGAGACAAAAGCCTTGCTTGGGAAATTGAGTAATGCAAAGGAAATTGGTAAAGACAAGTTTTAGTTTTGTGAATTAGTTAGTTAAATTAGAGTTAATTGGATTGTTATGGATAATTATCCCTGAAAATAAGTAGTTTGGGAGTAGGGCGTTATTGATTGTACACTTCACACCATATTGTTTATAATTGAAAATGCTACGACATGGTTGAGTAGTAGATTGCATCATGATATATCCATATGTATATTACTTGCATATAATTATTGGGAATGCTTTCAAGTGCAAAGGTGAACTCAGGACACCTAGGTAAGTTCAGGTGAGTTTATGGTATTAATTGAATCAATTGAGTTATAGTATGACTACAGTTATGAGTTAGGCAACTTCGATACTGTCGTATTGGTTGCCATGAGTTGCACATGTTATATTGAGATGCATTAAGAGCTCATAAACCTGCACCCCGGTGTTAGTGCTCCCGCCCGTGGCCAGGGCACAGTCCTTCACGTGATATTCACCTCCCGCACCTTATGCTCACCTTGGATTCAAGGTAGGTGCACAGTCCTGTCGTACAGACCACTTTAGGTGGTTCCGACTCGTAGGTGACCCGCGATTATTCGCCCAGCCTTCACGTGATCGTAGCACTTGAGCGTATTTATTTACACCCAGTCCTGTCGTACAGACCACTTTAGGTGGTTCCGACTCGTGTGCGGGTATACTTATTGAGCTATGGCCTAGCCAGGATTGATGAGATATGGATAAGTCGTACAGGTCACTATAGGTGACTCCGACTTATATGCTAGCCATGATTGATGAGATATGGATAAGTCGTACAGGTCACTATAGGTGACTCCGACTTATATGCTAGTCAGGATTGATGAGATATGGATAAGTTGTACAGGTCACTGTAGGTGACTCCAACTTATATGCTAGCCAGGATTGACGAGATATGAATAAGTCGTACAGGTCACTATAGGTGACTCCGACTTATATGCTAGCCATGATTGATGAGATATGGATGACTTGTATATGTCATTTTAGATGACTCTGACTGATATATCACTTTGTATTGATTTAGTTCATTTGGCCTACTTATTAATGTATGGTGGATTTGATGGCAAACCGTGGTTTTGGTCATTTCCGAGTATGGTTTGAATATATGTATATATGTTGTACTATCTTATGGAAAACGATACGGGTTTTATATTTAGGGGCATTACTTTTAGAGAGGTAGTAACTTTGGGAAGCTTGGTTTTATTGCTTACTCACACCTTCTGTTTGGTGCCCTCCAGGTTTTAGCTGCTGAGTTTATATCGACAAGAATTTGTGGCGAATCTTAGTATTGATGGATATTTTGAGGGTATGATTCTTACCCACATTACTGTACCTTACTTATGCTCTGACATCGCGCGTGAAATGGGTTCGCTCCCACTCGTAGCGCACTCTGGTATTTTAGACACTTTTGGATTCAAATTCATTCACTTTTTATACACTATCACATTTTATGGCTTCGTCACCTTCCAGGTGTCGGTCAGCACAGCTCGATTCAGGGTCCAAGTGGCCTTTCTGGGTCGGGGTGTGTCACAAAGTGTGCATGCAATCAATCATAAGCAATTAAATAAAAATTACATATTCATGCTAAGGCTTAATGTTTCGTCTTAGCAAAAAGAATTAGTTACGCATATTCATAATTAAAATCATAGAAAATATTATTAAGAAAATGATTGAAAACACCTTAAAGTAGAAAATCTCCAAAAACCCTAGCAATTACTCTTTGTCTCCAAAGTTGCATTAAAGAAAATGTAGAGAAAAATTGTAGACGGCAAAGCCTTAAAATCCCCTCTAGCTATCGCACAAACCCTAGTAATCAGGTCTCTTATTCCACTAGGAAGCTAACTAATAATAAAATATATTAAAACATAAAGTTCTAATTAAGTTAGGAAAAACTGTACAGAAACTGTCCAGCCACGTTTTAGCCTCAAATCTCCTCCAAATCCTGCCCAAGATAGCTTGTTTTAAAGATCAGGACGTTCTAAACACATCTCCAGAAGGCCACGAGACCATCCGAGGTCATCTTGGGCTCCAAAAACGTAAGTCAAGCCCAAAACGTCACTATTCCAGCATCACGTATTGCTCCTTTATTTTATCGCCAAAAAATAACCGCTTGGTGGAAAATTTTGATATTTTGACACAGTCAAGCTAAGTGACTCATGAACGGCCTTCAACTAGAATTACTCCAAAATTCGTCCATTTGGTCCTGTTTTGCTCCAGAGAAATTTAGATGTCCTATATTGAAAATATAAATCAAAGCATCAAAATTCTACCAAGATAATTACCAAAACATACTAAGAATAGGGTAAAATACAATATGAAATTGACTTATCAACCCCACACCCCCCCCCCCCCAACAAAAAAAAAAAGACTTGAGATTAAACACTGCTTTGACATTAAACCAGATCAATTTATGCGATCCACACACACGAGTAGTTGAAATTATGGTTAAAATGTGTGGTTGGGAAAAATCCGATGCAGCAAATACCAGTGTCACATATACTAAACCAATCCGTAGTATGGCCAAGTGGCTAATTTTGGGTTAACGGAGAATTAGTAAGGAAAAGAGTATCTGAAGTTACCAGATGTTGAAGAGTCCTTGAGGTGTTTCATATCGAAAATTGCCCCACAAGCACCATTGGCATGCTCGTTGACATCATGACGACCGATGAGCTCGCAATCCCGACTTCCATTCTTGTACCCCTCGCTCAAGAACAGCTCTATATGCCTTGCATCCACTGTCTGCATCGTTCCTGCATATATATGAAAAACATTCACAATTACGCTGTTTAACAAATATAACAATGAAACGTAAACAGATTGCGAAAACAAGTGTCGTTTTTGAAGGGTAAGATAATGTGTGACTCTGGTTTTATCACGTTACTCTGCACCCTGCAGCATTTTGGCAAACATGCCGTCTGCTTCTCTCTAGAACTAGAAAGAAAGCAAGATTAAAGTTTCTAATCAAAATTTAGAAAATACATTTTAACACATTAATCTAGATTTACGAAGGCATTTTAACAAATGGCAAGTGATCACATCCATCAAGCACACATATTGAGCAGTGATGGGTTGTTCTGCCTTACCATCACAAGTATTGAGCTCGCAGGCGTGGCATCGAGCAAGTTGAAGATCTGTGGAACACCATTACAGTTGAAAACACAAGTTAACTAAATTGAAGTGGTAAAATTTAAACCTTAGCACTATTTAATCTTCATTCGTTTCCCTAAACTAAAATGCCAGGATGATTGAGTGCAGCTCAAGTAATTACCAGCAATCCATATCCCAGTTTTAACTTTATCCAACACACAACTGCCGCAGGACTCCAACATTTTCTGTATGCTCTCTCCATCTGGGAGCCTTGATGGTTTGATCAGCTTTTCTGTTAGGAATGCTTCTGAAGATTCAACGGAAAATGCACCGATCCGCATCCAGTCTGAGATGCATCCAAAATCCTTTGAAAACCCCATTAGTACGATAGCCAATGTTTCACTGTACTCTGAATTATGCAATTAGACACGTGCGAGCAAGTAAACCAGCTGAATTAAACAGATGCAAAATCGGCAGGGCTAGTGATTGGAGTGAAGTTGTAACAAGGTAGCCGTACTGGAAGGTGTGTGGCTGGATCACTTCCTTTTCAGAGGAGCTAATGCTTGTTATGTATTTTGGTTTGACAATACTTCACACCCAAAAAAAGCGAGTTACATCTGAGTTAAACTTAGACATGAAAGTTTTCTTTCGTTTATAAGATCCCCTTTTTTACATCCCCATGTCCTTCCTATGTGGCGAGATTTTAGAAGACACTAACTTTTTCCAAAGTAAAAAATAATAAAATGTATACATATAAAAAATTTTGTTAATCACCGAATGACCAAGAGAATGAGACTATATAAGTTGCCTATGTAAATTTCTTGCACATAAAATGATTCATATAAATTTCCTGTAAATCTTCCAAACATTAAAAACAGAACCATATAAACTTCTTGAGCATAATTAAATGAAAGCACCTGAAAATTCTAACCACAAAAACAATCCAAAGGGGGGAAAATTGGGCACTCACCGATATGCTTCTTCTGCTGGCGGAACATGTAAGAGTAACTCCCATCTGCAAAACCGCAAAGCCCACTTAATCAGACAATTACGATAATACGTCTTAAAACTAATCTAATTCCTATATTATTATGCTAATTGACATCTGGAGGCTCTCAGATTCTTACCAAAGGCAGAAACGTAGAGCTTCCCCCAGTTGAGTGCCAAGTGGCGAGGCTCAGGGACCCGGATATCACGTAGGCACACGTGCTTCCATATGCTCCCTTCATCCAAGATGAGACCAACGACATGTCGTCGCGAGCATCACTAGTGACTTGGCGTCTAGATCGTTGGCGATCTCTGTCCAAACGTCCTTTTCGCACCTCTTGATGCATAACAAACTCACATAAATAAATAATAGGATAATTTCGATAATTACTTAAATCTTTAGGGGTTTCTAAATTGGTTTTAACTTTATTCTAAATTGGTTCTAACCTTTCAAAATATTCTAGATAATTACTAAAATTTTGAAAGATGAACATTTCTTAGGTTCACTAGCGTTCCGTGATAACGTGGACAAAAATTAAGGATGTTTAAACTATCAAGACATCATTGAAGATTTGAATCTCCTAATTCATGTCATTTAGCTAACAAATTTATGATTTAAATTGGCTAAAATTGGTCAATTTGAGGGAATAGAACTCTAAAGACATCGGTTAGTGAAAGTCAATTTTAGTATTTGTCCATCTCATCTTTTAATGTTGGTAAAGTCTCTGGTGACTTACTAAATGTCTAATTTAGAATGTTTTTAAAAAGTTAAGACTAATTCGAAGTAACCTAAAAGGTTGGATAGTTTTTTGTTTAGTTTAGTGATTTAAATTTTCATAAATTTAATTCATAAATTTTCTACAGTTGGGTGATTTAAATTTTCCTTTCATTTGGTTTAGATTGACATGTATTCAGTTCAGAAAAGTAATGTTTCCTGCATACAGTTAAAAAGAAGATTATGGGAGAAACGTTACTTTTTTGAACTGAATACATGTCAATCTAAACTAAATGAAAGGGAAATTTAAAGCGAAATAAGAGAGTGGAGGATTTTACGTTAGTTCTTCACCGGGGGTCACACTAGTCTGAGTTAGGTATATTGAATGAATAAAATCCAATGGGTAAACACATTCAGTTTAGATTGAGTTGTATTTAGTTAAAAAAAGTAGCGTTTCCTGCATAATGGCCTTTTTAACAAGAACTTTCTGCAATTAAAAAAATGATTATGCGGGAAACGTTACTTTTTTGAACTGTCAATCTAAACTAAATGAAAGGAAATTTAAAGCAAAATAAGAGAGTGGAGGATTTTACGTTAGTTCTTCACTAGCGGTCACACTAGTCTAAGTTAGGTATATTGAATGAATAAAATCAACGGCAAAACACATTCCATAAAATGGTACACGAAAAATTAAACACATGAAAACATTAATACATGCAATGTATTTCAAAATCAAACAAAATAACATATACAATGTATATTTTTCACTTAAACAATAATGATCATAAGAAAATAATTCAACAAACAACTGAACACATGAGACAAAAGAAAACAAATTTACAAGCCCAATATACAAAATTAAGGTGAACAAAAAGACTCACAAACTCTTACAAGTGAAGGAAAATATGTATAAAAATCTTGTATTGATTTATTTTAGACAACAACATGCTACATAATACATATGACGCTTTACCCAGTGGTGAAAAACAATAAAGCCTATGCACCTTGGTGTGGGTTCGTTTCTCACCGATATCCCTTCCCTGCGACTTAACAATTTAGCTCACTGACGTATCATTTGCCAAAAAAAAAAACCAGAACATGCTACATAATTAACGACAATGGAATCAATTAAAATTTAAGCATGAGTTTAAAATCTAAAATCATTCCAAATTATCCTAAGGTTAAATGATTTATGTGCATCTATAAATAAATCAACTTCAGAATTAGGAGGAATTGAGAAAGAGATTACCCACGATGATTATCTTTGATTAAAAATTGAAGTGTTTCCTTTGATGAAAAGACCTTCACTTGCAGACTCCTCGTTTACAGTGGAATGAAGATGAGAAATATGATAGAGAATTTAGTGCTACCACAATCTCCTCTGGCCGAACAACTTTGATCGTCTATCTCTTTCGTTATTCACTCATTGAAAAACCCTAAATTAGAGATAGATAAAGTTACTTTTATAATCACGTGTGTGATTTTCCTACAAAATCCTTCCCATATATGATCATATAGTATTGGTGGCCTATTATGCCGTCTTTTGATTTAAGTTACCATAGAACTTAAACCACAAGCTTAATATGTTCATGCCAATGTGCCTAAAGTCCGAAATTATTTTCCCGTATGTATAGAATAACAATGCAAAAATCCAACCTAATCAATTTTACGTATTAGTTAATATTATTTTTAAGATCCATGACAAAGTTTACCAAGAAAAACGCTTTATACCATAATTAATGGTATCACATATTAATACTACGGTCTTATGGTATTCATTTTCATTTACAAGTGAGAGGTCGAAAATGACGAGTTTGTAACCAATTTTTCATTTTCATTTACAAGTGAGAGGTCGAAAATGACGAGTTTGTAACCAATTTGTTCCCCGCTCCTTAATGTAGAGACATTGCGTAAAGAAAATCTCAGAACCGGTAGTGACTCCTGTCTTTAAGAATCTTGAAAATATTTTACTTTTGGTTCTAGGCCTTTAAAAACAAAAGGTTTGCAAGAGTTGATGGGCCTTGTTCTTCGCATTAACTGGGCTGGGCTTCAGGGTCAGACCTAGGTAAGAGAATAGACCCGACGACATCGTCCCAAAAACTTTGCCGCCCTATATAACAGTAACAGTATCTGCCGCTCCGTCCGCAGCTAGCTGCTCGTAGTGCTACTCTGCGCACCGCGGCGGGGGTGGTTGAGCATCACCCTCAAGCTCTTCGCCATTACCCAGGTTTTTCAGTTTCCCCCTTAACTTTCTGTTTGGATGCCGAGAAAATCACAGAAAATATGCAAAATTGTCAATATTGAGATGGATATGATGGTGAAATAGTAAAAGGTTTGAGCAGGAATTTTGTGACGGCAGAAAATACTGTGAAAAAAAATCCGAAGAGGGCCCCAAGTCCTTGCTAAAGATTTTGCACTGTGACTTTCGCAACCTCTTGGAAATTAAAATTAAAAACTAGGGTTTGATCTGGTATCAGCCTCAGTGGATGGGTCGCATGAAAAGGCGTGGGGTTACGTTCTAATATTGAATGCCAGCCTAGACTGCTCCCAACATTTTAATAGTTGCTAGTACGCTAGTTGCTATCTGCCGTCACGAAGTTCCTACATTGATCAAAGATCTTTCTGCTGATCCATCTCTATGAATATGATATGATTGCGCCGGATTGCCGTTGGTTGTTTTGGTCTAGATTTGGAGTTTTGATTATTTGTTGTGGTTGAAATGTTGGGAAAAAAAAGTTTGGGATTTATGAGTTATGGAAAATGCTTTAGAACCCAGTTTGGGATTTATGCGTATCTTTATTTGATTGTATGAGCTTTCACTTGTTGGTTGTATGATTGAATCTCTAGGTTGTGTTTTCTTGTTTTCAGATTGCAGGTAACTCTAGTATTTCCAATGGTAGTGTTGATAGTGTGCAATTAAAACAAATCTTTGGTGTGTATAATTCTTTACATATTTTATGTGATGAGTTGCTAAGTTTCTGCGGTTTTGGTTGTTTGGTAGTTGCATTCGGTGTTAATAGTGTTTTAAATACTAAGTATATTGTTTATGGATGCCGGCATTTCCCTTCTATGAGAGGTTTTATGATGTTTGGCGTTAATTTTTGCCTTGAGTTTAGTTAGCTTGTTCCCATCTTGGTTATCTGTTGTGTTATTCATATGCGTGGCTGCGTGTTCTCTACTGATAGCAAGAGTCCATGTAATCCCCCTGCAGTTAATTTCCCCGTCTTCCATTTTGATTGTTGAAGAGAGTCTCCGCTGGAGTGTCTGTTGCTACAGCTACCAAGATTCTATTTGTCTCCTCCTGCACAGTTAATCGCCCCGTTTTCCACCTCGAAAGCCATTTACTGCATTCAGATTTGATTCCCGCATCAATTGTTCACAAACACGTCACTTGAAAGTATAGGCATTATTGTTTGGTTCAATATGGCCCTCTCACCGTGCTCTAAAGGTTGACGTGATTACTTGTTCATTTGAGTGTTTGAATTGACCATATTCTCGAGTTAACTCTGTCAAAAGTATTGCATGTTGTGGCTTGTTTAGGAGGAGGTTTAGCCAGAATCGGCCCGTACGTCTACTGAATCAGTTTATGACTGAGGTATTCAAGTTCTGGACAAGAAGAGAACACGATAGTGTGAGATGAAATTTTAGCACTCTAAGCTCTGGCAACGTCCTTTGACATGCTCTGAATTGTGTAAAATATGTAAAGAAGGATATGTGTACCTAGAGTGACATGTAGTGCTTAATGAAAAAAAAAAAGGCCAATTTTGTGTTGATATTTGAAATAATCAATATAAATGACACTGCATTTGCTTATTCTTTTCTTAAAATGACAATGTATCAAAACACCACACACACACTCTCTCTCTCTCTCTCTCTCTCATCAATGGTTCGTAGTAACGGGGAATACGGAAAATAAATGGATGAGATTGAAAATACAGTTTTGCAAATCAACTCTAAAGGTTAAAACACGAGTCACTGAATGCTATGTAGTATTGAAGCCGAACTTCAAATGTGGTATATCTACCATTAATGAGTTTCAAATGCATAGTTTTTTAGCAAGTGATTTGAAAAAGGAAAGGCTTATTTCTTTATGGAAATTATCATTGGCCACTCCAAAAAATTTATTGTGCACCATTTGTAAGTTTATTTTTCCATCTAAATATAAAAAGTTTGGACAATTAAACTTTTAAAGTGCTAATAACAATTCACTTTCTTATTTGAGTCGTGTTAATCATGTCAATTTAATCCTATGCATTCAACTTTAATCATGTCAATTTAATCCTATGCATTCAACTTTTCCATCTTAAGTAAAAATGAGTGTTGAATTTAATGGAGCTACCTACATTGGGAAAGTGACGCTGAACATAGACGAGGGACATACACAGATACATTCCCAAAAAAGTACACTAAAGATTGAGTATATGGTTCCAATCAGGATCATGAAATACCACTCCCACCTCTTTTGCATTCATGACTTTTTGATTTGTTTGAAATTAATTCACGTGTTATAACTTAAATGGACGACAAATTTAGAAGATCATTTAAGGCTAAAAGTCATAAGTGATTCATGTGGTTTGCGTTTAAGTGTTGCTTTTTAGTTGTGGCTTCAATTTCGTCCACTTATACCATTGTGGTTTGCTTTTGATACCAATTTTGATCTATTCTATTGATCAATTTTCGTCAACTAGTGTAACAAGATGTTCATGTTGGCTTCACGTGTAGGGGTATTGTACTTTTGCTTTAAAAAAAAATAAACGGTATTATACTTTTCTCGTATTCAATTTCACTTAATAGTTGAAAGATGCAAGCTCAAGTTTTAGAACACGATATTTTGAGTAAGATTAGGCACTTGCAACCAAGTTTTTCATGTGTATTTTGAGCGAAATTAGCATTTACTCCAATTGTTTAAGTGAGATTGTACACAAAAAAGATTATGCATGGGCAATACTTGGTATGCCAAGTTAAATTAATGTTACAAGTAATGGCATGTTTAGTTGCTTCTCTAAAAACACTTAGGTTCATAACCATTTTTTTCATGAAGCATGGACTTCTGTTAGTCATAAGCGCTTCTAAGTTTTTATACCAAACACAATCAGAAAACGTTTTTATCCCTTCCAACAATAATCTCAAAAAAATCATATCGTGACAATTTAAATAAAGCACATGTTGTAATATGGAATTATGGATAGGTCTAAAGATCGTGCAAATATCGAAAAATTCTCATTTATTTGGCATTTGAAAAATCACAATATTATTTTCTACCGCCCAATGATATAGCTTATTTTGGTGTGTTAACGACTGATTAATAAACAAATGGTTGACAAATCTTCTCATAAAGTTATAATTTAATCTCAAAGACGTGTTCTTTTTTCCAATTTTTCCAAAAAAAGTTCAGAAACACAATCAAATGACTGCCCCACTCAATTTGTTTAAGTGGCTAAGATAAGAGTGTTGTCGAAACCTACTGCGGAGTGGCCCTGGTTGACCCACCGATATAATTTGGGTTTTAGTGTTGCAAACTGCATCATCTTTTCCACTGGGTTTCAATATATAATTTTCCAAAATTAAATAAATAAAAAGAATACAAGTAAATTCCATAACATCTACATGTACATATAATTATATTTCGTATTTATATTATAATCTGCATGTGTAATATAATAGAGGGAATCAATGTCGTGGGAGAAGGGCAAGCAACTGAAAAAGCTTGAGATGAAAATAGTTTACATTCTTCATTTTATTAATTTGTTATTAAATTATCATTTGAAAATAACATCTCAAAACTTAAGTTGTACTGAAGTGTTAGGCTTATGTCAACTAGGGTATAATAGTTCCGTCACTATCGACTAAACCGTCTGAGAAGTGACTAAGAGGAGAGTGGTTGGGTTAAGCCACACAATGAGCAACCTAATTTGATATCGAATTCGTCATCTACGAGATTTGAACTTAAGACCTCTCATTTACAAGTGAAGAGAAATACCATCATATTTTAATTTAGGGTACTTGAATTAAGTAAATCAAAGGACAAAGAAAAGTTTGCATCAGAAACAAAAAAAAAAAAAGAAAAAAAAAAAAAAGCATATGAAAATCACTTAAAACGGTTTCGCTTGAATAATTATAGCATAGACTTGCAGATTTCATTTTGTCTACTTCGGATTGTTTTGAGCGATTTGAGGTGCATATGATTTTATTCAAACACCCTAACTTGTTAAGATTTTTTGTTAATTAATCTGAATTTGGTTGTTCATCTTTTTATTGTATCTTGCTTAATGATTATTAATAAAGTTTTTCTCTAATGATGTGGATCTCTAAAAACAATTATAAGTAATATATATTGAACAAATTAGCTTGTCAAATACTGTACTAACTTTCCTAAACATTGTTAGAAAAAAGACGTCCAAATCTTGTGGAAAATGATTTGTCGGTATAAGGAAAGTAAAGCAGGTGGTTCGTTTACAAATTTCGTGATAACAACAAATAATGCTGGAAAATTATGAACCATGCAAACAATGAAGAGAATTAGGCCAACACAACATGGAATGGAAACGTGTCATGCAGTGCAATAAGCAACAACAAATCCAAAAATCTTTTTCATTCGTGTGGGTCACCAAACTTTGTTGTTTTGCTTCATCTGCAGATGCATGAACTGTCAACTATAGGGAGTTTTTGATTTAGGCGCAACGAACGGTGACAATTATGAGGAAAATATACTACAAAAAATAATCTACTTATATGCAATTTGTCAATTAGATTAATGATTTTGTTTGATTATTTTTCCCTCGAAGTTTAATATTAAAAGCCTTGATTTAATACGTTTGTTATTTCAAAATGTTGAATTTAAATCTCAAACCTTAGTGGCTAAATATGAGGACTTATTTGTGAATTTTTCACATTATCACGTGATGTTATCAATCTTATAATACTATATGATATATGTGTTTAATTATTATACTATAGTTTAAGTCCATAAAATATTGACCACGTTGCTCAATAATTTTATATACCATGAAAATTAACAAGACTACGAGATGGTGCAACTGTAATATCCAAAAAAAAAAAAAAAAAAATCCAAATGTAACGATCAAACAATTTAAAGGTCTAGTGGAAACATAATTCTCAAGGTCAATGGTAGTGGAGTGGCGGCTAATCCATCCACATGGTACACGAATACACGTAAAAATGATGCATTAGAGTCTTGTAGATTGAATTTGCCAATATGGCTTTGTTTTTACATGAATTATGGAAAACAATATGACACAGATGGATGGTTTGAAACCTAATACTTTGAAATCCAAGGATCACGATGCAGACCACATTACTAGATGAAGATCCCATCCGGATCCAAATGGTGGGGATTCTAGGGATCTTTACAGTCTAGTCGTTCATCATATATTGTGCGGTCAGAAATCATTTGAATTTTATTATTTAAAATTAAACACAAATAGTACCTGACGAAAACTAACCTCATAATATACGATGAATGACTAGGATGTGATGATCCCTTAGATCCCCACCATTTGGATCCAGATGGGATCCTCATCCCAAATTATTGTGTTGGTCGTGCATGAATTCATCGGCCTGAAATATATAGAAATTAAGGAAAACTAATGAAAATGAATAAAGGGTAAACTGAATAGTACCATAATTAACCTTTTAATGTACAAAAATGATTTTTCGTTAAAGTAAATAGTACCGTGATCTTTTCCTTAAAATTCCTTAAAAATTACATATTAATTTGATTTTGACTGTCACCATAAAAAAGCAGACATTCATTTATATATGGGAGTTTTAACGAAAAGCCCGCGGTACTATTCATTTTAACGAAAAACCACATTTTTACACTAAAAAGTCAAACCTGGTACTATTCACTTTACCCTTTATTTTGTCCTTATTGTTAAACTTAAAGTTTTCAAGTCATTTTCATTAGTTTTCCTTTTATATATGCATGTCGGCTTCAATGCATGAGATTCTCGGCTATGCATTATTCTCTACCTTTATAAATCTGGTTATGTGTGAGCTATTTTGGTACTTTTTCTTGGAAAAGGATCCTCTCCGGATCCATTCCACATAATCCACCAAGATCACAAAGCTGAACTCTTGAAATTTGATCGAACGACTAAAGTTATTATAACTTTTTATGGGTCATTGGATCAAATTTCAAGAGTCTGAATTTGTGGACTTGTAGGATTAGGTGGAGGATCCCTTCCCCTTTTTCTTTAACTTAGAGACGTATAAATGATTTGATCCTTTGTTTTGAAGAAGTGGAGGTTCCACCATAAAATGAAATGGCCATAGAGAGTACCCAAACCTCATGCATTTGCAAGATTTCTCCTTTCACCGATATTAGACTTTTTTACTTTTACATCCTCACACACCTCCTCATGTGTGGTGAATGTTCAAGACAAACACATGAACAACACAAATTGGATGATGTGGAGCATGTGTGGCCATTGGGCTTCAAACTTGGGCCAACTTAGCTCTGATACTACGAAGAAAGTTGAGATTTCACCATAAAACAAATTGGCTATGTGGAGTAGCCCAACCTCAAGCCCTTGCAAGGTTTCTCATTTCACTGATGTGTGACTTTTTTACCTTCACATTCTCATAAGTTTTTCTTTTATCATGTCATTACTTTTTTTTTTTTTTTATCTCCATCCCTAAAACATTTTTAGGGTTGGTTTGATAGTACTATTTTCTAAATAAATTTTTTCGTTATAAAAGAAGGGAATGAAAAAGCACACAAAAAATAAATAAATAAATAAATGAAAAATAAAAAATTGAATGCCCGTTTGATACCAAGTTCGCTTGAGACACAGAAAAAGTAAATGGGAGAAAATGAGAATAAGAAACGTTTTTCTTTTTGGGTCAAGAGAATGAATAACGGTTAGGGGAATGATGATCAAAAAATGTGTATGAATTGACTCACAAAATAAAAACTAAAAACCAAGCAAGGTTGTCTTAAATTTCAAATGTTAGTATTCACATAATCTCTTCTTAAATCTCCCTCCTCCCTCCCGCCACCTCTCTTTGCCCTTTTCAATTCCTTAAGTTCTCCCATATATACCTGATTATTATCCGTTATTTCTCTCATATGTAATGGTTTCAAAAGGGCATTGAACTCTTTTAGGGTTTGTTTGATATGATTCCATTTTTAGTTTTCTTTTGATAGATAAAAAGATAATGCATATGAAAGACTGAAGATCAAAGAAGAACAGATGAAGGAAATGAAGGATAATGTAGGAAACAAAACCTAATAAAATTTGTTTTAGTTTTCGGTTGGTGTAATCTTTCATGTACATTTCTTTTAGTTCCTTCCAACCATTGCTCATGCATTTTTTTTTCCTCCCATCGTATTTACTCTCTATTATCAATAAAATAATAAAAGCTATAAACTCAAAACGAAAAGATTATCAGACGACGTTCTGGCATTCACCCTTGTCAAATTTATAATACAAGCAATAAGGAAAAATACTCGTACCCACTAATATTACAACTCCATGGGGGACAAAGACCGATTTAATTTGATCATTTTACCAATCTGTCCATCAATTTGCAATAAACAAAAGGTAGTGTAACCCCTCTGGATGGTTCGAAGTAAGTACTTAAACATTCTCGTTCCTCAGTTCAAGAAAACCAGTCTAATTTCATGATAAGTAAGTCTCCATAAATTTTTGATCAAATTATTTTTTAACGGCTCTGATTTTCTGATTTACTTACATGATATCCAACTCTGAGTGGACCCATCATGGCACTGGGCCCCAGATTTTGCCCTACATTACAAAGTGCAGCATAAACATCCAAACAGTTTCCAACCTTCCCATTAACTTACAGATATGACTTAATATAATGATAACAGTCATAATTTACACCTTATTAAAATTAAGTTAGAAAGAAAAAAAAAAAAAAAGTTTTCTTTTGCAAGTGGTTCTTTATCACAGTGATGAAAATGTGTTCATCTTTTGCATGATGTCGTGGGTTTGTTCCCGTCGGTAGCTAATCTAACATTTAATCTATTATTTGACAAAAAAAAAAAAGTTAGTAAAATTAGTTGAATTAAAAAGAAAACTAAAATGCAAATCGGCTTGGGTGACGAGTTTATACCTAATTATTATGAAATATAAATGGCTTATTGTTCATATTTAGTTAAATTTCTATGCTTTAGAATCGAATATCATATCAAATGAAAAGAACGAAACATAGGCTGCCATGTGATCAAGTTAATCAAGATTTTCTTTTGCACCGAAGTTTGAATTCTCCGTCCTCGCCTTATTATTGCCCCTAAATTAAAATATCGTTAGAAAAGAAAAACCGAAAATAAAAATACATATCCCACAAAACGAATTGATACAAATTGATAATTGTTTCTGCATAAGCCAGAAAACTGTCGTAAAATGCCAAATACATTCTTCTGACTGTTAAATCTCCGCCCTTGCTTCCTTATCACACCCATCTCTCTCCATATCTTCTATTTTTCCTCCTTCGTCTTCCTCTCCTCGTTATCCAAAACTCTCAAGCTCCAAACTTAGAGAGAGAAACTGATATAGAGAGAGAGAGAAAGAAAGAGCAAGCTTTCCTCCACATCTTCTTCTGCATAATTATTATCTTAATTATGGTTTTCTACATGCATGGTTATTAATTGGTGCAACAAGCTCCTCGTATTCAACACAGAAAAAAAAAAAAAAAAAGTCTTCCTCTTTCTTTCCAAATACTTGGTAAATGTTCAAAGTTTTCAGTGTTTTCTTTATTACATATTTTTCACTTAATCTTCACTTTAGCTATATATATTTGTGCTAACTTTATAAGTTTATGGATTACTAATTTGTGGTGAGTATTGCCTTATGCTTTAAACTTTATCCTAGTTTTTTACAATCTGATTAACAAAGGTTTAATGAACTAAATTTCTTCATATATATGTTTAGGAGGGTAATTAAGCAAATTCAAGCTTAAGCTCATTCATTCAAGAACAAGCTGCAAAAATGGCGCCCAGAAACAGCCGTGGAAAGGGAAAAGGAGACAAGAAGAAGAAAGAAGAGAAGGGTATTTATCATTATTTTATATTTCTTATTCAAATTGCTAAATTCGATTACTTAAGCACCAATTGAGATAACTAATAAATCTCTTGTGTCATTTTTTCTTGCTCTGCAGTTCTTCCTGTTGTTATGGACATCACTGTGAAACTTCCCGATGAAAGCAGTGTCGTTTTGAAGGTTGTTGGATTATAATATTTTTTTAATTTAGGAAAAAACTGGATAAACTCCTAAATCTTTCTGTCTTTCTTGTTACTTGTAGTCTTTGGAAGACAACCACATTTTTGTTTGTGTTGCTTCTAATTCACATGGGCAGACTTTTGAAGGTTTCTTGCCGTGGTTGAATTATACTTGTTTAAGTTTAAGCAGTGTTTAAAATATCATATATAAATTTATCGAAATATCGATAAATACATTGATATTGGTTGTCATCGGTGGAAAGTATGGAAATTTTTAATGGGATAGGTATCTCAACTCGTCAAAATTAGAGAAAAATTTCTCAAAAAAAAAAAATCAAAAGTTTGAAATTTGCTGGAACCATCTGCAATGGGTTCTAGCAAATTTTCTATCGTGAAAAATATCATCGATGTTCATTGAATTTTCTTGTATCTCACCGATAAAGGATGAAGTTTTCATTTAATCCTTCTTTTCATATCGATCATTGATTTTTCAGATATCGACTAAAATATCGACAATTTCGCTGATATCTTAAATACTGAGTGTAAGACCATATGTTTTGTATGCTTAAATTTGTTCATTGGTTGGATTCGAATATGTACTAACTGCTAAGTCTCCAAACTAATTACTTTCACCTACTTTCCCAGGATTGAAGTTAGTTTTTGAGGTCCACAATGTAATGCGTTCAAGGACAAAAGTTATATTACTTTTTATGGATTGATGCGGCATGTACTTACACATATTTTATACAAAAGTTGATTTACTTATGCATAGGATATTACTTATGTAAAATAATAATATGGTATTGAGCAGGCAATATCGACGGATAGGATTATTGATGTTCGTCAGCTACTATCAGTAAATACGGAAACTTGTAGTATTACGAATTTTTCACTATCTCATGAGGTAATTTCCATTACCCACATTATTTCTTCTTCTTTTTCTCATTTTTATTATTTCAAAATTTTGAATTTTCCCTTTTGTTTGACAAGGAAAATAAACGGCCATAATGCTATTGTCGTTCATGACAGGTAAGAGGGCATCGATTAAGGGACGCGGTGGACGTCTCCGCACTCAAGCCATGCGTCCTGACGTTGGTCGAAGGTATTTATCAAAAAGCATCCGACGTCGTTTGTATTATTTTTTATGATACATCTTTATGGGCCGTATGAATTGGACCGTTGAGGGCCCATTGGGCCAGAGTATCTGAACGTCGTCGTATTAGGCTTCTTCTTCTTCCTCAGTCAAATTTCTTACTGTGCTCTGTTTTTCTCAGAGGACTACGATGAACAGCGCGCCACGGCGCACGTTAGACGCGTGCTCGACATCGTTGCATGCACGACGAGCTTCGGAGCGTCGTCTTTGCCGGCGAAGGACCAAATCCCTAAGCTCGATGCTTCTTCAACTGGCTCTGGTAAAAATGCGCCGGGTGCGCAGGTTAAGAGCTTCAAGAAATCCAACGCCACGGCCGCCGCAGCCAACGCCTCCAAGTCTCAAGTTTCTACCGGAACCGATAAGCGAGACGTGGCGGTGGACTCCGAGACCGAGATGAGCCACTCCTGCCTCAAGCTTGGTTCTTTCTACGACTTCTTCTCTCTCTCCCACCTCACACCCCCTTTGCAATGTACTCTCTCTCCTCCCTCTCTTTCTCTCTACATATATACGTATTTGTGTATAATTGACGTATTTATTTGTGTATTTAGTGGCAGAAATTTTGAATTTTTTGCAAAAATTGTGTGTAAATGGTATTAATTTTGCAGTTGTTCGAAGGGCGGCGACACGGCAAGTCGATGAGATTGAGGCGGATGATCACCTTTTTTCTCTTGAAGTAAGACCTTCTTCTGCACAGTCCACACGCACACAAAGACAATTTATTTATTTATTTTTCGGTCTGATCATCGAAATACATTGTTATATTGGCAAATTTTCAGGTGAAGCTTTGCAATGGGAAGGTGGTTCTCGTTGAAGCTTGCCAGAAGGGGTTTTATAGCGTAGGGAAGCGGCGGATTCTGTGTCACAACCTCGTCGATTTGCTACGGCAGCTCAGTAGAGCCTTTGACAATGTTAGTAAAGCCTTTGAGTTTCTGTAGTGGTTTTAATTTATTCTAGCTTTTTATTTGTGTACTGATTATGTGTATGTTTAATTTCTCATATTTAGGCTTATGATGAGCTCTTGAAAGCATTTTCGGAACGGAATAAGGTATAGGATCATTCATTATGCTTTCTTGTATGAGTTTGTGTTACCATTTCTGTATTTGATAATTTGTTTTCTTTGATATTTTGCAGTTTGGGAATCTTCCTTATGGGTTTAGAGCAAACACGTGGCTCGTACCGCCTGTTTCAGCTCAGTCGCCTTCAGTTTTCCCTGCTCTCCCCATGGAGGATGAAACTTGGGGTGGAAATGGAGGTGGTCTAGGAAGAGATGGGAAATTTGATCTAATCCCCTGGGCTAATGAGTTTTGGCATATTGCATCCATGCCTTGCAAGACAGCTGAGGAGAGGCAGATTCGTGATAGGAAGGCATTCCTTCTTCACAGCCTATTCGTCGATGTTTCCATTTGTAGAGCCATTAATGCTGTGCAGCGTGTAATGGGAAAACCGGAATTGACTTTTTCAATTCCAAACAGTGAGATTCTTTACTCCGAGATTGTAGGGGACTTGAATGTCACAGTTATGAAAGATGTTACTAATGCAAGCTTTAAGGTAGATACTAAAATTGATGGAATTCAAGCAACTGGAGTGGATAAAGTGAATCTAGCACAACGAAACCTTCTGAAAGGGATCACTGCAGATGAAAATACTGCTGCCCACGTAAGTTATTTCTGAAATAGTATTGTTGTCTCTACCTTATGCAATTTATTTCGTAACTTTGGTGCAGTTGAGGTGATTCTTGTTAAATTATGTGTGCAGGATGTCAACACTCTAGGTGTTGTCAATGTCAGATATTGTGGTTACATTGCAGTTGTCAAAGTTGAGGGTAAAGAAAATAAGAAAGTCGGTTCTCCATCTCAGAGCATTGTATTTGTTGATCAACCCGAAGGTGGTGCTAATGCCCTTAATATCAACAGGTACGCAATAATGCCTCAGTGAGTATTATGTAAAGCTACCAACCTTTTGTCATGGAGTTTGCAGCATACGGACCTAACTAGTGCCTTGTTCTTTGCAGTTTAAGATTACTACTTCACAAGACAATACCTTCAGAGCAGAATAAACCGGCATCACATATGCAAACTCTGGAACATGAAGATCTTTCGGCCTCGTGTGTTTTTGTTGAGGGGGTGTTAGAAGAAAGTCTTGCTAAGCTTGAGAAAGAGGAGCTAGATTCTGATAATTTTGTGAGATGGGAACTAGGAGCTTGCTGGATACAACACTTGCAAGACCAAAAAAATGCAGACAAAGATAAGAAACCATCGAACGAGAAGGGTAAAAATGATATGAAGGTGGAGGGACTTGGGACGCCTCTTAAATCCCTTAAGAACAACAAGAAAAAATCAGATGGAGGCAATACCAAGCTGCAATCTGAAAGCTCAAAATCTCATGCAGATGGTGGTGTTGCGGAAGCTGAAAATACTATATCCCCTTCTGTAGAATCAAAGCTTGAGACTAATGCCAAAGAAAATGAGCATGTTCTGACAGAGATATTGTCTGATGCTGCCTTTGCTCGACTAAAAGATTCAGAAACTGGACTTCACTGCAAGGTAATACATTATAGGTGTCACTAGAGGCTTTAGATTTACTTATTTGTACTTCACATTGTGTACTAATGTATTGTGTGCTTGACAGTCTCTGCAAGAACTGATCGACTTGTCTCAGAAGTACTACTCTGAAGTTGCTCTTCCCAAACTGGTAAAAATTTTTATTCTTAAAGCTCGTTACCTTTTTTCATGGAAGTATTGTTATGGTGATTCTTGTTTCTATAAATTTTTCGTATAATGCAGGTAGCAGATTTTGGTTCCTTGGAACTTTCACCAGTTGATGGTCGGACCTTGACTGATTTCATGCATACTAGAGGTCTTCGGATGCGCTCTCTGGGGCATGTTGTAAGTTTGCTTCTAACTTTCATTTTTAACACGTGACACGTCTCATATTATTCATCTACCTAAGAACCAATTGTGTCCTCAACTTTGCCGGGTATTTATGCCTCTTCTGAACTTCATTAACTTTATTCTGTAGTCAGATTTGTGGAGGAATTTGTTAATGTGGCTTTGAAGTATGTAATAGAAGGAACAAAAAAGAACCAAGATCATGTCAATTTTCAGAAGATCTCAAGCTAGCACTCCGTTTATTATGCATTGGTGACTGTTAGACAGTGTTAACCTGTTACCGTTATTTATAGGGCATCAAAGCTCTATCTTCTTTAATCACTTCACTTATAGAAAATATTAACTTGCACTGCCTCTCATCTCCAAACTGAAACTCTCAGAATATTTTGTAATGCTGTGTAGATGATTGCGGAATTCGGCTTAACAGGTTATCATATTGAACGAAATGCCTTTTCTTTCTTTACAGGTCAAGCTTTCGGAGAAGCTATCCCATGTGCAGTCCCTTTGCATTCATGAGATGATAGTGCGAGCTTTTAAGCACATACTTCAGGCAGTGATTGCCGCCGTTGGTAGCACTGAGAAGATGGCTGTATCAATTGCTGCTGCATTGAATCTTATGCTGGGCGTTTTGGATAATGAAGAATTAAATAGGTCTTGCGGTGTTCATTCTCTTGTGTGGAAGTGGCTGGAGGTATTCTTGCAAAAAAGATACGGATGGGATCTTAACAGCTTCAACTATGAAGATGTGAGGAGATTTGCAATTCTGCGTGGATTATGTCACAAGGTATATATCATGACAATGCATATTAGATTCTGGAGATGGCCCACATTCTTGAATACTGTCTTCGTAAGTTTACACCGTAACTTTTATTATATACTATAATTTTAAAGTTGTGTTGACATTTTGCTTTCTCTTCCCCCTACCCTCAACTCCACCCCCCAATTAGGTGGGTATTGAGATGGTTCCAAGGGATTTTGATATGGATTCTCCAAATCCATTCCAAAGTTCAGATATTGTCAGCCTAGTCCCAGTGCATAAGGTGACGTTTGGCATTAGAAGCATCTGTTTTCCTTTCTTTTGATTTTTTGAAGTGGTAATAGTGACGACATCTTTTGTAATTTAACCTTTCTTCTGATATTTTCAGCAAGCTGCTTGCTCTTCGGCAGATGGTAGGCAACTCCTAGAATCATCAAAAACAGCTTTAGATAAGGGAAAACTTGAAGATGCAGTTGCATTTGGCACTAAGGTATGCAGACTGTTGCTAGAACGTTTTCTTTCACCTTTTTATATTGGTATTGTAGTTGGTTACAGGCTGAACTTTGGCATTTGCAGGCGCTTGCAAAGCTGGTAGCAGTTTGTGGTCCATACCATCGAATGACAGCCGGAGCTTACAGCCTCCTTGCTGTAGTTTTATATCACACTGGAGACTTTAATCAGGTCTGCTGCCATCTCTTTTGTTTTGGCGTTTCTGGGACATCTGACATCATATAACTGTTACTTTCTGGATCAACATAGATTTTAAATTGAGGGATTGGCTACATCTGGTTTCATATTTCAATTGTAAAAGGTGGAACGGAATGTGCAAAAGTGGGAAAAATATTGAAAGTTTGTCTTTCTTTGGTAAAGGTTTTATGTCGTGGATGACCATTGATGTGCTCCCATTACAGGCTACAATTTATCAGCAAAAGGCCTTGGATATCAACGAGAGAGAATTAGGGCTTGA